TTTATTATTGCACTTTTCGGGTGGGTGGGTGGTGCCTGGAAAAGCAACCAACACAAAAACAAAAATGATCACACCAAATACCGCATACCCTTTCATTTTGCTTTGCTTCTACTAAGTATTTCGGAATACAAACTTAAAATGAATCATGGAAAGTTCGTGAATATTGCAAGCAAATACATGTACATACATAAATACACATGTATGTGTGCATACAAAAATAAAGTTTACATTAAAACAGGTCAATATTTATATATTTGAATAAGAAAAATTTAAATTTTTGCGAACAATCCAAAAGCAGGAGATGTTTTTATATATGAAAATAATTATTAATACAAATTAAATAAATTTAATACCAAGCATAATTCTATGAAAATGAATTTTAAGAACTCCACGAATTGTAATTCACAACATGTATTTCTCTACAAAGTCTATTTTGGACCAATCATATAATATATATGTACATATATTTATCGTGTATGGGTTGTCAAAGTTCTTGGATCAACGCTTACGGAAACTCTTCTGATTTCTTAGAGGCTTATTTCTATACTTTCGTAGCATTTCATTTCATTTCGTATATACATACATATATATTTATTTTTCGTATATATTAACCTGATTTGAAACTGCAAATGGATTAAGCCAGAATTTGAGCATTAACTATTTAACGGTATTCAAGGCCGATGTAAACTTTCTTCTCCCTTTAACTTAGAGAGGCCTTTGGGTAAACGACGCAATTTGCAACAAAGTTGTCAAAAACTTTTTGCGTGTAGATTTGATAATCGGCAATTGGACAATTGGAAAAATAAGCATGCATGTACATATGTGTTACATGCTTCTATATTCGCTGTATTACCCGGCTTTGCCCGAGCCAAGTTGCCTTACCTAATATTTTGGCCATGGGGCTGCCTTTCATTCACAATTTCTTGAAGTAGACGCCAATTTACCACCTAAGAAAGGTGGATTTGACGAAAAGTGTGAAACTAATTCCATAATGAGCTTTGAAATTCACTGACAATCGGATATATGTATGTATGTATGTGTGTATGCATGTAGATATTTGAATGTATTGGCAACTCTGTTGGTTCCATGACAATTGTTGCTGCGACGCATTTAAATTGCAATTACAGCAACACCTGCCAAACAATATAGAAACAGTAAGAACAACAACGATGGCGACGCCTTCTTATCAACTGTAAACTGTAACGGCATGCCGTAGCCGCCCAACCTCCCTGTCACGTTAGACGCCCGCCCTGCATGTCCGATTACAATGTAGCTACACGTGTTAACCGTTAAATATGCAGCAAGCTTAAGAAATATGACGGAAGGGGGCGTGCGGAGGGTAGGGAGAGCGAGAGAGTGAGAGAGAGTGAGAGAGCGGACAGGCTGGCGCCTTTTGCGGTAAAATTCTTGGATAATGCACACTGGCGAGAGAATGTCTATTGATGCGCCGTTACGAATTGCGCAATCATATGAAAGATGAAAACCAATTAATATTGCGATATTAATGACTTTTTCGAATTAGCATTAAAATTAGATAATTTTGCATTGAAGCATTACTAACATAAGCACAACAACAATTAACAACTGTAACGCCGACTGCGCTGCCTGACGACGCTGCCCGACGCCGCCGACTGAGGGCCACACTTGTTGCCTTTATTTACGCAGTTGGCTTTCGCCGCAATGGCGTAGCATTTTGTACTATGGCAAATGGCAAAGACGCAACAACAGCAACAACAACAACAACAACAAGCAGAACGAGCAAAAAATTGTACACACGCGCAAATAATTGTGGAAAATACCAACAAAAGCAAAAACAACATTAGAAATATTATATATGTATATGTACATACATATATGTGCAGCGCAGTACAACTAAAACTAAATGAAAGTGTACAAAGGGAAAATAAAAAAAAAATTGACATAGGCAAAATGCGCGGCAACGAAAGCTTCTTCTACAATTCTGTTTGCGTCGGAGTCGGCGTCAGCGTTGGCGTCGACGTCGGCGTCGCGCATTCGTTGCGAACTCAAAAACAAAACAAAATATGTACATATAAATATGTGTGTACGTAACGTAAGCGAAGCAGGAATTGCCATAGAAAAGAGCCAAGGGCCAACAGCAACAACAACAATAACAAAATGCACGCGCCGAAAGTGCAAAATGCAAAATCAACGAAATCGAATACGAAATAAATCGACTGCAAAAACGAATTTTGACCAAAATAACGGGCAGGCAAATCGATGCAAAGCACACGCACGCACATTCGTGCATGCATATATGCATGTGTGTGTGTGTGTGTGTGTGTGCGTGTGTAACTGTAGCCATGCAATTGTATTGAAATGTTGTATGTGTGCATGTGCGTACTCTCTCACGCAGGCAAAGCAACGTTTGTTTTTGTTCTTTTTAGAAACTTAAATCATAACAAGCTCTGGGTCTCTAGTCGACCGCGAGATACTCTGTACGATTCAACCTTATGAACCCTGCAATACTACAAATAAATGTGAAATTCTTAAGCCCAATGCATTTGCTCATAATTTATATCTTCGAAACTAAAATGAACTAGTCAAAGGTTAGTTTTCATATAATCCAATTTCAATTATAACAATTTGAAACCGCATTGTAATTGCTTTTAAGCCTGGCTAAAATGTTCCATAATATTTGAACCCAACGTGAGAGCATATAGAAATTATGTTGGGCACTTTCGGAGCCCATTTCCCAGCTTAACCCATCAAGGAAAGCACCTCTATGCCTAGCCTGATTTGGGTTTGAGTCGTGTCCTTATCACATTACGCCCACTTTGTTGCAGGCTCTAAGCTAGTCTTGTCTCCTGTCTGTGTGTGTGTGTGTGTGTAAGTGTATGTCCTAAGTTTCGGAAAACTTTCTTGTGGAGACCCGTTTGGCTGTGATACCCTCACCAGAGTTACATCGACTTGGCAACATTGTTTGGAAGCGAAACTAGGAAACAATACAAAATATTATGTTAAATAATTATTTTTACATAATAAATATCGTTAGTTAACTTATTGAAAGAATTTTAGCGCAAAAAAAATCAAAAATAAAAATTATAGAAAAATACATACTAGGATTAAACACTTTTGCAGATGGTATTTTAATCTACTTCAGAAATATACTAAAACAAAAATTAAAGAATCTGGAACTCATCAAGCTATGTTTGGCTTTGGTTTATTAACTATAATCTACACATGTATATGGATTTAATTTGTTATTAATCGTATAAAGAAACTGCCAGAACAAACAAGAACAAGAACTAGATATCGTTCATTCTGTTTTCCACAAATCGATAAATATCGAACTATCGAAACATCGAATAGTTTATTAAATATAATCTATACATGTATATGCATTTAATTTGTTATTAATCGTATAAAGAAACTGCCAGAACAAACAAGAACAAGAACTAGATATCGTTCATTCTGTTTCCCACAAATCGATAAATATCGAACTATCGAAATATCGAATAGTTTTTTAACAATAATCTACACATGTATATGGATTTAATTTGTTATTAATCGTATAAAGAAACTGCCAGAACAAACAAGAACAAGAACTAGATATCGTTCATTCCGTTTCCCACAAATCGATAAATATCGAACTATCGAAATATCGAATAGTTTCTTAACAATAATCTACACATGTATATGGATTTAATTTGTTATTAATCGTATAAAGAATCTGCCAGAACAAACAAGAACAAGAACTAGATATCGTTCATTCTGTTTCCCACAAATCGATAAATATCGAACCTTCTCCCTCGCAAAAATGATTCAAAAAGAGAGTTTTCCTTTTCACATGCATATACTATGTATGTGTGTGTGTGTGTGTGTGTGTGTGTGCATTAGGTGAATATATAAGATATCTCCTAGTCGAGCCTGTCCGAGCAGAGCTTCTTCTTCTTCGACTTGCACATTTGGTGGCCATAATTTAATTAGATATGAAACCTACCTCAAGGTATCGCATAAAGTTGTTGTTTCTTCATTTTTATTTTGTTATTCACTTTGCGCTGCGTCTGCTTCTGCTTCTGCTTCTGCGTCTGCTTCTGTTTCTGTTTGCTTTTGTTGTGTTTTAGTTGCGGTTTTTGCTTTCAGCTGCCGCACAAAGTTCATGGGTTCAATCAACTTGACAAACTAAAACTGAAATTGGAGTTGTCAACTAGAATGTGCGAGTGGTGTGAGGGGAGGGGGAGGGGGGATGGGTTGAGCGGAGCGCTAAGGAGCTTAAATTACACGTGTGTGTGTGTGTGTGTGTGTGCATACGCACGCACGCACGCACGCACGCACGCAGCGTTAATGCGCCGCAAGCACCTACATGTGTGCATGTGGGCAGACACACGCACAAGCATACATGCATATGTATGTATGTATGTGTGTATATGTGCATATTTAATTATAGCAGAAATTCGCCCGCACATGCATTTGCATATGCACATTTCACCTAATTGTTATTGTTTATTTTCGTTACAATCACAACAAGAAAACGCATTTTGTTTTGTAAACAAAACTCAGACATCGTCGATTTCACTCAAAACAAACAAGAGGCACAATACATGCACGCACACATGCTCACGCTCGCGCTCGCGTTTACTCTCCATAAAAATTGTACTCAAAACCTGGCCAGGCCGACCGGCCGGCCGGCAGGGCCCAAAAACAAAGGTAAATAAACAGAGAGCGCCAGCTTAACTGAGAGCGAAACACGTGAGCTATTTAGAAGCTTTTTGCGTTACGCTGTTTAATGAAATCTACATTGAGTCAGCCAAGGCACAATTCATATATGTATGTATGTGTGTGTGTGCATATGTATAGAACAAGCAGGCAAACACAATAATACACACCACGACTCACACTAAACGATTTCTGCTCAATGTCTAGCGCTCGTCGCCAAGCTCACCATCTCACCACGCTCGGAGAGAAACACACAGCAGCTGATAGTGCTGGCACAACATCGGGCACGCCGATTTCTGTAGTTTGAGTTATCTGCTTTAAATGCTGAACACTCTTATTTGTGACTCCGGCACGGATGAACGTGCGGCGCGTAGTTGGCTCTTCGTCTTTGTAGGTTTTGGCTGTTTCCCGCCCAACAAAAAAAAAAAAATAAAATAAAAAAACAAATCAAATTAATATGAAATAATTTGAAATTTCATAACTAGGCAAAGACGACAACAATTACAATTATAGTTACCAAAAATAAGCAGAAACCACAAAATTCCGGTCGGACTAATTTAACAAAAAAAAAATAAAAACAACAAAAAACAAATAGAGAGTACCAAAAATCAATTACAAGTGCAAAAAAATAAAAATAAAATATTTCTTTAACTCGGACACGCCACTAAAAATAAGCAGAAATACAAAATTCTAGACATTTCTCAAAATTCTTTCAATTCCTACGACTAACTCGACTGCAAGTCTGCGAGCAAAGCTTCTCTGCTCAGAAAAAGTGAATGTGAAGTTACGACAAAAAAAAAAACAAATAATAATAATAAATACCGCTACAAGTTGAGACAATTGTTAGCTCCAATTGCGAGTGGCTTCCTCGTGCGAGTGTGTGTATGTGCGTGTGTCTCAAGTACAACGGTGCAAGAGAATAGACGGAGCAGAGCAATAGATGCAGCTTCTTCGCTCTTACGATTCGCTGCTGCAAGCATCATAGAAGCAGCTTCAAAGGGAGCAGCAAGAATTACACTACGCGGCGGCTCAACGTAAAAGTTTTAGTGTGAATACTATTATTACTTATATATATATATTTTTTTTGTCTTGCTAGCAGTCAATTTACACTGCTAATACTTTTTTTCGGGTGTCTATATTTTTTTTTCTGCTGTTCTGTTACGACAATTTCAAGTGTGCAAAAAAAAAAAATAAAAAAGAAAGAAAGAAAGGAAAAATAAAAGGCGGAAGCAACAGTTACAAATCTGGATTAAATATTTAATTTCCTCTACGGAACATATACGCAGTTACGGTAAGTTTCGTGTAAGCGAAATCAGTAAAATAGAATTCAAGTGATGTATGTGTGTATGCATCTGCATGTGTATGTGTATGTGTGTATGTAGGTATGTGCATGCATATTGCAATTAGAAGCAATAGAAGAAAACTAGTAAGAAGCAAGTCGAGAGCACGACTGAGAAACACAGACAGACGCACAAACAGACACACTTAAAGCCCTTTCCGTGTGTTGTGTACGCACACACACACGCACACAGGCGACAAATATGCCGGCATTTCTTTAAGTTTGCAGTATCCTTCGTTTTCGCTTTCGCTTGCGTGCGTCTAAGAAAGAGGCAAAAGAGGCACAGACGTCGGGGCGACGCGTCAATATTTAGCAGTTTACCGTTTTGGTCAGTTCTGTGCAAGTGCCAAGTGCTGCTGCGCGAAGAGGGAACAGCGCAAAGACGAAAAGAGCCCCAGCGATAATCGTGTAACGGTTTTTTGCGCTCGTGCAAAGAATAGAGCAAGCACTCGCAAGAGGGGAAGAGAGATGGATGCGTTGCGATGCGACGAAGAGATCAGCTTTTATCAGTTAACTGTTATTGCGAGTGCGTTTGTGTGCGTGTGTGTGTGTGTGTGTGTATTTGAGACAAAACGACAAAATGCGAAAAAATGCGCGCGTGTTGCCAAGTCATTTAGATCGGAAATCAAATAAAATCAAACAATTTATTTATAATTAAAAGCTGCTCGCATTCGCACTGCTCTGATAACTTCTCTGAACTGCTGTCGACGTCAGCAGCAGCTGCGCCAGCGGCAAAGGGAGCAGCGACTGTTTGTTTGCGTAGTGAAAATGAAAATGAAAATCAAATACAAGACAACACTGGCAGCAATTTTTACAACGTTCTCGCTATGTCGCGTGTCCTGTTCTTTTTCTTTTTCTTCTTCTTCTTCTTCTTCTGTTCTTCGTGCTTTCAAGATGGCGTCTTCGCAAATCGTAAATCGCCTATGTATTTCGCAAGGATGAGCCTGCCGAAGAACGAATCGAAGAAGAAAGCGAATCGAACATGTTGCGTGTGTGTGTTTAGTTAGAAAGTACTAGAATTTTAATTACATAAAGTCGAAGCGTCTCTAAGGGAGATGTGTTTCTGGAACACTCGAACAGAGTTCAGATATGTTCACACTCTAGCACAGGGCACAGGGTATCCGCTAGTCTAGTAAATGTGAAAGATTGCAACGAGCTTGTCCAACACTAGTCTTATGTAGAACATTTGCCAACACTTATTTTCAATATTTCCGTTGTTTCTCTTCGCCTAACCACAGCTTGCAGCTGAAAAACTGTGCTACATCAGGACACCAAGACCATTTGCCAACCCGGACAAGATTATTAAATAAACCAGTCGAAAGATGACGACCGTTTGCAATGGGGGCATTATGACGGGCTGCGACTACGACTATGACGATTGCCCCACCCTTGACGACATCGAGTTGAATGATCTACTTGACTGCGGCATGCCCAACTTGAATGATCTGGCCGACAGGCTGCCCAGCATACAGAACGATGTGGAGCGGATCGCGGCCAATCGGACGCACTCGCTGAGCATCTCGCACCACGACGATTTCGGGGATCTGGACATTAAGCCCGAGATACGCAATGTGGACTGCATGTGGTCCGTGTTCGCCAGCAACATGGCCAATTGCATTGGCGCCAGCAGCAACAGCAGCATACTCAGCAACAAACACAGCAGCAGCAGCAGCAGCAACAACAACAGCAGCAGCAACAACAGCAGCAGCAACAGCAGCAGCAACAACAACAACAACAACAGCAATTCGGCTGCGTCCAGTTATAGCGAGAGCAGCGCTGTGCCGCCAGCCTTTGTTACGGGCAACACGCTGTTAATTAAACGCGAACCGGAGGAAGAGGAAGAGGAGGAGGAGGAGGAGCAGGAGCAGCAAACGAACCAGCGGAACAGCAGCAACAACAACAGCAGCAACAGTAGAAAGTTCAACAGCAACAGTTGCAGGTCAACTGTCAAAGCGACAACAGCAACAACAGCAGCAGCAACAACAGCAACAGCAACAATTGCGATACCAAGTCGAGTGCTCCACATTGAACCGTATATACCGCCGGGCACTTCGCTGCTGCGCAAGAGCAATACGCAGCACAAGCAGCAGCAACTGTTGCAACAACAGCAGCAGCAACGTCTTATCAATATGGCCACAGCCAACAACAGCAGCAACTGCTTTGTGCTGCCGGATGATGAGATGCTGCCGGAATTCCGTCACAATGTGGATCTGCGCGCCTGCGTCATGGGCAGCAACAATATTGCGCTGACGAGCAGCGCCGATGCCATCGATCATCTCAGCCGGGAGCTGCAGAATACGAGCAAGGAGCGCATCGATCTGCCTTATCGGCTCTCGACTGCGCCGCAGTTCAGCGATGTGCTTGAGGTGCTCAATCAGCAATCGGAGCAGTCGGCAGCAGCAAAGGCGGCAGCAGCAGCAGCAGCAGCAGCGTCAGCAGCAGCAGCAGCAACAGTTGTCACACTGTCGCCGCCGGCAACGAATGCGACCAGTTCCGATTGTGATTCAGACGATGGCGATTGCTCCATGCGTAATTCCAGCTGCGGCTCGGCTGCCTCGATCGATTGCAACTATATGCGGCACATAAGCGATCACAGTTATACGCGCTGCAACGAGATGGAGACTAATCTGGACACGCCCTCTGATTCTGGTGAGTAAAACCCTTGAAAGCTATAACACTTTGCTACTGGTATACAAGTGTGCACTGTTATACTGTGCAATACTCTGAATCTACTCTCAATTATGCAGATGCCCTTGCACAGTTATATGTGCATATTACTGTAGTTTGTACTCTAAGCACAGACAAAAGCTATTATTGGCTTTTTTCTATTTTTAGTCTCTGCGAGATATCGATACAACGGCACTCGTCCAATGCATTCACAATTGCATTGCTTGCGCTCTCTCCTCTCTCTCTCGCTCGCTCGCTCGCTCTTGTCTGTCTGTCGATCAACGGCATTAAGTAATGCGAACTCACCTCCACCCTTTATTCTCCTCCCTTGCGCGCACACTTTATAATCTCACCATCCTTTGCCTCGCCCAGACATTCAACTAGTGTTGGTCTGCGCTGCGCTGCTGCTGCGCTGCCGCTGCTTCTGCTGATGTGTGGGCGAACGATGACGCGCCTAAAAATCGATCGCCTACGTCAACAGCAAACGTAGTAAACTTTTGCTGCACGCATTACACACGCCCACATGCTGAGAGCAGCGGCAGCGGCAGAGGCAGCGCACTTTTGCCGGTTGTCGTTTTGATGTTTGTTTTTTGTCTTTTCGGTCTGGCAAAAAGCTTTCATTGATTTTCCTTTACCAGCAGCAAATGCTAACCCCGCCCCCCTCTTTGTATATTTCGTTGGCGCCTTCTAGCCTACGCATTACACAGCGCCACAGTTCTCTCAGTCCCTTAGGTCGTGGTACCCCCCTCCCCCCCTTTTCCACAGCGAGTGATGGCGCGTGGCTTTCATGGCTCATTATGTGCTTTCTCTATATGTATGTGTGTGTGTGTGTGTGTGTGTGTGTGTGTGTTGATGAGCTGTTCGGCCCGCTGGCCCATGGCGTCATCCTCTCGCACATTGTAGAAAAGCATCCCCAAGCGGCGTCTTGCGCAGTTTGTGTTACGCCCAAAAAGCCATTTCTCTTAAACGAGCGCGCTCGCACTCTCTCTCTCTCTCTCTCTCTCTCTCTCGCACTCTCTCTCACTCTTTTATTTTTTTCTGTGTGGCCAACAACCCATGTTTCAAGGATGTCTGCGCTCATGCCACGTGGCGTCATCGCCACCGACACACCCTGCGCCCGCCCGCTCACCCAGGCCGGTTTTTGGTTTTAGTTTATGGGTTCAATGTCTCTTTTCAAAAGCCCCCCCCCCCCCCCTACCCCCTCCCCCCTCCTCCCTTGCTGCTGCTACCCCTTCATTTGCTGTCAGAATCAAATATATAACAGTCGACAACATACTGAGCTGCCCTCGCAGTAAGAAATCTACATATTTTACTACTACTACTACTACAACTACTACTACTACTACTACTACAACTACTACTACTACTACCTTTTACTCGCACACAAATGCAACAACAATTTGGCGCGTAAAGCTTTTTCATTCACAAACTGCAGTCCGATGCACACATACTCACACACACACGCACACACACACACACGCACCTACCTACAGCCGCAGACATGAAAGCATGCATGCATGCATGGGCGCAAATCTGGTTCCTTAATTCTTATTGCTTCCCCTGCTTCCACACACCCCCTTAACCCCACACACACACACTTATTATTATTGTTACCTTTTTCGTGATATCTGTCATAATAATAAAATAAAACGCGAAAACAAAAGCAAAACAAAACATGCATACAAGCGCACTCAGATTGCCGTCAAACAGCAACTGACGCGTCGGCTTCGGCGTCTACGCCGGCAAAATTGCACAGGTAGGTCTTTCACTCTCGCTCGCACGCACGCTCTCTCACTCGCTCGCACGCACGCACGCTCTTTCTTGTGTTTAACATGACGCGACGCACTCACTGCCAGCGACAGATTCACAATTGCAGACGGCAGCGACGCCGACGTCGACGTCGCGTTCAGCGACTTTGGTCAATTTATATGAAATACTCTTGCAGCGTACATTAGTTATGTTGTGTGCCGTGCGAAATGAGATATCAACCAATTAATATTTAATAATGAATGATAAGAAAGATAGCGCAATGTACTTATGTAAATAAAGAAACGTTGAAGTGCGTGCCAAGTGCGGGCCACTATTAATACTAGTCGTAAAGGGTATACAGGGTGCGACATGTTCTCTTTGGGATATTCTTCGCTTTAGTTAGGCAGAGAGAGAGCGGGAGAGAGAGAGAAGGCCAAGGCTTGAGTCTTTTTGAGCAGGATTTCATTGCCGAAAATAATTGAAAAAAAGCTGCTTTCGATAACGGCACACACGATTACCGTAATTAGATAGAGATGCGCAATTGACTCTATGCGATAGTTGGTTTAAAATGTGCTTGAATGCCTTACGTTATTAATAAATACTGTTATGTAGTTATACAGTTATAATACTTACGTGTGTGCCTGTTACTAGGCGCATATTATTTCGCTGCCTCTGCCCAATTTCATGTGTGTAAATAGTTTTGTGTGCCTCCGTGTGTGTGTGTGTGTGTGTGTGTTTGTTCAATTATTAGCGAAAAACGCCCACACAATAAACATTTTTTTTTTTTTTTGGCTCTGATGCTGTTCGACTTCTCTATACACAGACACAGACATGAATGTGTACGCGTTATGTGTATGTGTGTGTGTGTGCGATTGCCAAAAAGTCGCGCGCGCGTGAGACGATAAAAAAAAAAACGCGCAACGTGCGAAAGTCGCTACGAATTGGTTGTTGTTGGTTTTGTTGCCGCCTTTTGCTGATAGCAGCCGTTGGGCAGCGTTGATAATTGAAAACGTAACATAAATATGTATGTATATATGCATGTGTGTGTGTGTGTGTGTGTGTGTGTGTGTGTGTGTGTGTGTGTGTGTGTGTGTGTGTGTGTGTGTGTGTGTGCATGAATAGTTTGTCGAAAGAAAAGCGTAGACTCAACTTGATACACGCACACACACACGCGCAGTGTTACGCACGACACTTGGCAACAAAAAAAAAATGAAAAAAATGAAAAAAAAAAAGAAGGCAAAATCAAACGCAATTTTAACAAATTTTTGCGTATTCCAATTTGTACGCACAGCAACAGCAACGGCAACAACAATAACTACAACAGCAGGTGCTGCGTGCTGTAGATTAAAAGCTTGTCGCTAAGCGCAAGTGTGCGCGTGACGCGCTTCATTAGCAATTGGACAGACAGAGATTGTAAATGTTAACGCGGGAGGATGCGCTGTAAAGAGAGCGAAGCTGAAGCAAAGAGCTAACTGTTACAGTTCACTTTTGAGCTTTTCGAGTGTTTATCGATCCTCAGTTGCCGCTAGATGTCGCTAGCTTTCCGAATATGCAATACATGCATACATGTGATGCACATGCATGTGATACATATATACATATTATTTACTAACATTATTGCCCCCCCTCTGTTTCTGCTGCTGGCCAGCAGCTGTGTTTAGCATTCGTTCGCGCCTTTGCCTCTTGCTGTTGTTGTAATTGTTGTTTTATTGGCATTTTCGCACCTTTTGCTATGCATACGAAAAAAAAAAACAAGAGAAACAGAACTAAACGAACTGATATTGTTGTTGTTGTTGTTGTTGTTGCTATGCGTGTGTTATTTCGAGTACCGAATCCAATTCGAAATAAAAAAGAATGCTAATGAACTGAACGAAGGTCGAATAATCATAAAATAGTGCGTAGAAACCAAAACGAAACAGGAACGGAACGCCAAAAGTTTATGAGAAAAAGCTTGCGTGTGTTGTTGTAGTTGTTGTTGTTGTTGTTGTTGTGTGTATTACCAATTAAATAAAACTAACCAGAAATAGTGCGACGATGCGTGCTGTGTGCAGACAACGTGTGAGAGGGGGCGCACGGTGGCAAAGAGTGTGTATATGTGTGTGTGTGTGTGTGTGTGTGTGTCTGTGTGTGTGTGTGTGTGTGTGTGTGCGTGTGTGTGGGAAAATGCTGTTCAACATTCCTTTTACCATATTTAGCTGTCTTTTTTTTTCATTTATTTTTATTTTACTTTCGCTGGGGGCCACAAATTTATGCGTCTGGCTGCGGCAACTTTTAGCGCCAAGTTACAACATTCGCCCAACCCCAACAAAAAAACAAAAAAAATACCACCCAGTAACAACAACGACAACGACAACGACAACACGAAAAGCTTTAACAATGGTCCAAAGGCTGTGACGACGACTAACATTTTTTTTCTTTCGTACTTCTGCTATGCTTGTGCTGCTTCTTGCTTGGCGCGCTGTTGCTAGGCGCGTCTTTTGCTTCCACAAACGCGCCCGCCGCCTGTTGTCTCTCTTTGTGTGTCCGTCTCTCACTCTCTTAGTTCGTGCGTCTCGCTCGCTCGCTCGCTCGCAGGCATTCATTATGCTGCTTATTCGCGCACGTTTAGCAATAAATTGTTATGCTCAAGGTCGACGACGACGGCGACGTCGACGTCAACGGCGTATTGTGCTGCTCTTTACACACGCACTCCCCATGCGCTGCTGCTTTTATTAATTTTTTTCATTTTATTTTACGTTTTTTTTCTTTTTTTTTTTTTTTGGCAATGACGACGTTGCCGACGCCAACGAGCCTCCCTTTTTGGTTGGACGCGGTCGCGTTCGGCAGTTGTTGTTGCCTTAACTGGAGACGCTGCGTCGTGCACATACACACATGCATATGTACAAATGTACAGATATGCGTATATACGTATAACAGAATGTTGCCAAACTTTAGCCTGGCACGCCAAATACATGTGTATATGAAATGTTGCCAGCGCTGCCCAAAATGTTGCCAGACGCAGTTCATTGTTGTCATTTTCATAATTTATAACGTATGTGTGTGTGTGTGTGTTAGACGCTGGCGCATTGCGGCACTGCCAGTGGGCGGTGCACGCCGACGCCACTCTTCCCCCCCACCACCCCTACTTTTAACGACTTTTTATGTTTATAGTTTTTGGGGGGTTTCTATTTTTTTTGCTGCTTTTAGATCTGGTGACATTTGTCATTTGAAACAGGGTGAGGCTCCAGGATGACTCATAACGGTGTGTGTGGGGCAGGCGAAGCATGAAATCGCAATTGTTGGTTGCGGCAACAAGTTGCAGTTGCAGACGTTGCAGTTTGAGATGCATTCTTGTTGCCGCCGAGCAAAGCAAAGCGCGCTCGTGGGAAGCAGAAGCAGCAGCAGCAGGCAGGCTGCGCCTGCGCAGCGACGGCGCAGCGACGGCGCAGCAAAGACGCTTGCTGTTTATTGCATGGCAAACCGCAAAACGCGAGCCATGATGCTAACACATGCTGACAGCATAGACACCCCCCCCCCCCCCCTCTACCTCGACCAGTCTTGCAATTGACTTTGGTTAGGCTTTATCCTGCAGTTTGGCAGGCATTGCGCGAGCGTGGGAACACAGTTTTGGCGGCACTGTACGCCCAATGAAATTGTGAGTTTTCTAAGAATCAGCAAGATTTCTACGGAACACGAATAATAAACCCATAAACTGATCATATACATATGTATATACACACGTAAATGCACATGTAAATTGTGAATTATTCCAATTCACAATGAAATCATTGTCAAAAGTGTCGTGAAATTCCAGTTGATTCCAATACAGGAATATGAATAAACCACAATAAAAAAAAAAGAAGAAAACAAACAAGTTTTTTTTGAAACTCGTGCTTCTTCTAGTTCTTCCTGTTTTGGTGTTGCCTTCTTTCTTTATTTTCTATGTGACCGAAGAGCGTAAGAAGAGGAAAGCGCAAGCGGAACAAGTAGGAGCGAGAGAGAGAGAGAGAGAGGGAGAGAGAGAAGCAATTGAATATAAGAAATGTTATTTAACAATTTACAAGCGTACAACAACATAAACGACCACACCCCCAACCCGATGCGAGGGCGTTGCCATATTGTCGTCAGCTTTGTGTTGTTGCTAGAAATTTATAGAATATTTGTATAAGTATTTTATGAATTTTTGCTGCACAGTGGGCAACAAAGTTTGTGCGAGCACAGACATGACGCCTGTGTACCACTGTATCTTCATTATTTTCAGCGTCTCGTCTCTTTTATAGGCTTGAAATTCCTCATGTGAGAATTACATCATATGCCATTTTTACTTTTATTTCGATTTCAATTTCATTTGCGCGCTTTGTATACAGTTGTGTTTACATTGCTCAATTTTAAAGCTTTTTGCGCCCGTGTATGTGTGTGTGTGTGTGCTTAAGTGGTGTGCAAACGAGACAGAGAGACTGCGTCAGCAGCAGCAGCGGAACAGCTTTTTCGTCTTCATTCTTTCTATCTGCTCTTTATCTCGTGTATTATCAAGAGCAGCGGTAGTTGTAGCCGAGGGCAGCAATGACGTCGATGCCGATGCCGATGCCGACGTCGCTGCCCGCCTGCTGCGCCTGAATTAACATTTGCGTCTGGCTGGCTGGCCGCTTGGTGAAATTGCATGCATACATACATACATATATATATATATATATATACATACGTACGCTGTGCTGCTCTTTCGCTCTCTCACTCTCTAGCTCTTTCGTCTCGAATTGCCGTAAATTATACAATGCACTTGTCATTTGCTGTCCCTTTTGTGCTCTCCTCTGGCGCAGTGCATCTTTCGTTTTTCAATTAAACTCAGTATGCAAATTTTGTAGGGCAAAAGTGTGCGTGTGTTTGTGTTTATCGTTGCTCTTTTGTTGCTCTTCGCTTGCCGCCCACAGGCAACCGGCAGCTGCATAAAAGTTGCGCAACTTATTAAATGCCGTGTGTGTGTGTGTGTGTGTGTGTGCATTTTATTTGCAATTGTAATTAACTACGCCAGCAACAGCAACAAGCTGTTTCCTCTATGCTTTGGCTGGCAATTGTGCTTTATTATTATTATTATTATTATTATTACTATTTTAGCTGGCTGTTGTCTTGATTTGATCTTGGCGCGCTTAGCAACAAAAGTTGCCAAGCTGTCGCTCAGCGCTGTAAACGAGTTTGTCTGGTTTTCGTTGGCGCAACTGCGACGCCAGCAGCGGCAGCGGCAGCGCTACTAAAGCTGCGACAGTGAGCTTATGCATTTGTTTAACTTCTGTTAGCTTTGCCTGCTGCCTAACTCTACACACCACTTCCCCGCTCCCGCTCTATGCATACCCCCTCGTCTGCTGTTCATTGTAATTGCAGTTCGCATAAATTATTTTTGAGAACATTTTCCGGACTTTGACAGTGTTTAAATAGTTGCATTCTCAGTTGATCGATTTGTGCAACGTTTGGAATGTTTATGAGGTGCCGTTTGTGGTGATTGTTGTTGTTGTTCTTCTTCTTCTTCTTGTTGTTGTTGTTGTTGACAACAATTTTTACTTGACGGCCGCCGCCTCCTCGTAAAAATGCAAATCATGCAATGTCGACGCTTGTGTGCGGTCTTTCGTTCTCTTGCACATCTTCGCTTTGAGCTTTTGCGGTGGTCTTTAAAACATAAAAGAGAGAGAGAGAGAGAGAGAAAAAAAAAAACAAACAAGTGCCAAAAGTGCACAGCAACATTTTGTGCTGTGTCAGCAACATGAAGAGGGACATTGTTGCTGCTGCGGCCACATTCCAATTGATGTTGCTGCGGCTCCAAGTAAAGCAACAACAAAATGGCCGTTGGGCAACATTCTTGCTGGGGTCTCGGGTAAGGTCTGCTGCTTGTCTAGCCAACAGCATGATGATGTTCATCATCATGTTCGGTGGTGGTTGGGTGACTTTTTGTTGTTGTTGTTGTTAAACTTTGCCGCAAAACGTGTATTGATAATGCATGCAATGCGCTTCGCCGCAATTGACTCATGCAACATGTTGCCAAAGGTGGTGGTTGGCCCACTGGGGCAACGCTTGGCTGCCGCTGCCACTCTTCAGTTGCCTCTCGCTCTTGCCTCTTCTCTTTCACCTGGCTTCGATTTCGATTTCGTTCACTGCGGTCGCAGTCGCAGTCGCAGTCGCGGTCGCGGTCGCTCGCTCTGCTGCACTGCACTTGGACTTGGACTTGGACTTGAAATGTCGAGCGCGGAACTTGAAGCTTTGCAGCTTGAACTTTGAAGCTCTCTTCCATTAGGTTTTATTTTATTATTTGGGCTTTTTGCTCGCGCGCATTCTTCGACTTCTTTTGTGGCCAGACAACTCGCCTCGCCGCTCTGCCCGCCGCTTCCTCTCTCCTCTCTCTCTCTCTCTCTCTCCCTCTCTCTCTGATCTTTGTCTTGTGCTCGCTTGCATAGTTGCCAAGGCGACTGTACACATACATGCGAACATGTGTTATCAGTATTTGTGCAAATATTCGTTTGGGACTGTTTGCGGGTGCGATGGAGGGGGGGGGGGGGGGGTAGGATTAGTAGCAGCTTGATAAGCTGTAGCAAAAGTTTCTTAATTTCGCATTTTCTTTTTATACGCTTTGTTAATTTCTTTTTTTTCGGCAGTTTTTGTAATTTGATTAAACGCATTCAAAATGGGGCCGGCCCTCAACATTTGATTGCAACAACTGCGGCGTCAGCGTCGACGTCGACGTCACTTGGTTCAATGGACGCGCGCGGCAACGGAAGAGCCAAATTAGCAACGGAAGCTGAAACCCCCCCCCCGCGGTGGTCGCGGGTGGCCACAGATCGCAGCAGAGGAAGTGTAGACTGCGCTCTCTCGCTCTCACTCTCTCTCTCTCTTTCTGTATGCGAAACAGCATATTTGCGTTATACCGTTATCGGCGGCCTTGCCTTCACGCCTTACTTGTGATAATTGTTGTTCTTGCTTTTGCAAAGTGCGTTGCGCAACCCACGCAAAAGCTGCTCAGACAACCAAACTCCACCAGCCCCTGCCCGCCCAACAGCCACCTCCACCTTTAGCTTTCTGCTGTGCGCGGCGTCTGACGTCAAAAGTCAGTATAAGGCGTGGGTGAGTGTGGGGGGGGGGGGTTCTCGCTTTTCATTGTCTGTGCGCAAATCTATTGCTTCCTGAATTCTGATACTGTTGCAAGTGGCGTCGGGCCACATGCCTCGCAACGTTGACACAGTAATCCGCTTTGCGTGGGCCACAACGCACGCCTCCTGCCCCTCCCACCGTGCATAGACACCAACCCACGCAATACACATACGCACCCACACACACACACACACGCACACACATGCACACACAATGACATCATCGTGTTGCTATGCTTTGGGTAGTCATTGAACTGTCGTTGACATTCGCTAGACGTTTGCGGGGCTTGTCTAGTACAATATTTTATTATATTTGATATAAGCTTGTTATTGGCAACTCGTTACTTTTCATTCGTTGCAAGACACTCACTCGTCCAGTTATTTGTTCTTTTTCAATGCCACTCGTTACTATTTTGATCTCGTTATGTGATCATTTAGGGATTCTCTTGCATTCAAATTGAAATTACTCGTCACTCGTCACTCGTTACTTTTCATTCGTTGCAAGACACTCACTCGTCCAGTTATTCGTTCTTTTTCAATTCCACTCGTTACTATTTTGATCTCGTTATGTGATAATTTCGGGTTTCTCCTGCTTTCACATTGAAATTACTCGTCACTCGTTACTCGTTACTTCTCATTCGTTGCAAGGCACTCGTCCAGCTACAAACTATCTATTCAATTTCACTCGCAACTATTTTTTCTCTCGTTATGTTCATTTTTAATGATTCTCTTTTGCATTCAAATTGAAATTACTCGTCACTCGCTACTCGTTACTAATTAGATCTCATTTCGTCTGACTCTCGTTCTCGCTACAGATGAGGAAATCGATGTTGTCTCGCTCAATGACAAGAAATTGCCCACAAATCCATCGGATCGTGATCGACGCGCTCTGCAAACGAATATCGCCTACAAAATCTCGAGTGATGCCCGAATCCTACAATCGAAACGATTCGATCTACCCTATACGCCGGCCAGCAGCAGTCCGGTCAAGTCCGTAGTCAATTCGCGCTACGCCTCGCCATCGAGCACGCCCTATCAGGGCGCTGGCGCTGTGCCGGCCAGCTACTCGCCCGAAAGCCTCTCCCAGAGCAGCAGCAGCAGCAGCAGCAGCAGTAGCAGCAGCAGTAGCATCATCAGCGACTGCACAACGCCGCCGGCAACGATGCTGGATGGCAAGGGGCGCAAGCCCTACTACATGTCCGACTGCACGTCGAGGATGTATTCGAACAAGCGCAGCAATATGATCAGCCTGGTCGCGGCGAAGAAGAGTCGCGTGAAGAAGGTGAACGCTGGCTACGCTCAGCGCCCGTCCAAGTTCCATGATTTGGATGACAAGAGCCCGCTCGACTCGATTGTCACAGGCGGCTCCGGCTCTGGCTCCGGCTCTGGCTCCGGCTCTGGCACTGGCATTGCGAATCCGAGTTCCAGTGCGAACAGATACAGCAACAATGGCAACAACAGCAGCAACATGCTGAAGCGCCAGCTCAGCATAGACGAGGCGGACACGATCGAGAAGCGCAATCTGCACAACGATATGGAACGTCAGCGGCGCATCGGGCTCAAGAATCTGTTCGAGGCGCTGAAGACGCAGATACCCAATATACGGGACAAGGAGCGTGCACCCAAGGTCAACATATTGCGCGAGGCGGCCAAGCTCTGCGAGCATCTCACCAGCGAGGAGCGCGACCTCAGCCTCAAGCGCCAGCTCCTGAAGGCGAAGCTCAAGCAGCAGCAGGAGCTGCTCGCCCGACTGCGTCTGAGCAAGAGTGCAGCTGAATGATGATAGCGGTAGCCGTAAGTGGTGGGTAAAGGGTAAACGGGGGGTGATCATCATTGTGGATATGGTTGGGGGAAAGCCGTCGAGGGGGGGAGGGCAAATAAATAAGGAGGGACATAAGGTTACAACGCGTTTGCAAGCGATCCCGGCCCACATGAATATATATACATATATATATTGAAAGAAAGAAGAAAAGGTAGAGGATAAGGATAAGGAAAAGGATAAGGAAAAGAGGAAAAGCAAAATAACCGATATGATGATGATGATGATGATGATGATGATGACCATATGAAAAAGTGTTGCACACAAAAGTTACACGATAATTCTTTTAAGTGTATTTTGACGTAGGCTCACAGAAGCATTTTTGAACTTCAATATCAGTTTTTAGTATTAGCCAGTAGAGCGTACGAACGATCGATCGAACCAAGTCTCGATGTTGATAATAACAATAACAATAACAATAATAATAACAATAATAATAATAATCATAACAATAATGCTAATGCTAATGATAATGATAATGATAATACAAATAATAACAACACTGATAACAACAACAATGATAATGATAATGATAATGATAAAGATAAAGATGACGATGCTGTTAGATGTAACAATTTTTTTTTTGTTTTTTTTTTTTTTTTAAATTTGCTGCTTAAAAAACACATCTATGCACCGGATGCTATAAACAAACGATCGTCGAATAGAATAGTTAAACAAAATAAGAAAAAAAAACAAATAATATATATATATAATATATATATATATATATAACCTACGCGTACATGTTACTAGACGTGCTTTTTTGAAAGCTTTCAGCTTTGGCTTTATATACTGCTCTATATAGCTCACACACACACACACACACACATATATATACATATGCTTACATATATATATGTGTATGTATATATAGAGATATGGATATGGATATGCATATATGTTTAGGTGTATCTGTAAGATAGTGATTTAAATTGGATTTCTTTAATGTGATATTTTTTGATTTGATTTTGAAGCAAGCAAAATGCAAGTTGGAAGCAAAAACTAAAACTATAAACGAAATGTTGATAATTAAGAATAGAATTAGGAGGGAAACGCCGGAAATGGTTTTGTTCAATCCATTTTTGCCCCAAGCAAATCCTCTTTTCTCTTTATCCTATTTTGTACATATGCTTAGGATCTTAGTTTCTATTTACTTAACCATGAATTGAATAACAACAAAAAAAAAAAAAAGAGAACAACAAGGACAAGACAAACAAACGGAGAAAACAAAAAAAGAAAAAAAAAACAACAAAAAAAAACTATAAAAAAAAAACGGAAACGGAAACGGAAAACAGACAAAGTTGCAACGAACGAGCCACTAAAAAGAAAACCAAAACAACACGAACATGTTATACAAAAGAGAAGAATATGCGCGAAATGGGAGTGCAGGCGGTCAGAGAGAGAAGGAGCGAAGGAGAGAGAGTGAGAGAGAGGGCGAGAGCTGGCAGCATGGTCGCCATTTTGTGCGAATGTCAGAGCGAGAGCGAGAGCGAGAGAGAAGGAAAGAAGAGCGAATATAAGAGTCAAAACACGCAGCGATAGCTTAAGAAGATAGCTAGCGAGAGCACGAGAAAGAAGAAGAGTAGAAAGAGAAGGAAGAGAAAGAAGAGAAGGAGTAGAATTGAGCGCGATTTTTGAAGCAGCGCCAAAATGAGAGCAAATGAAATGCAAACTCTATAAAAAAAAAAAACAAAAAACACAACAAAAAAAAAAAGAAGAAATACAATTTATACATATTAAGGTAAAATAGAGTTATATATATATATATATGCATAGTGTATACACATATATAGATCTTATATATATATATATATAGAACTTATATCTTTTATACAATTAGCTGCATAGTTCTTTCTGTTTTTTTTTTCACGATCAACAACGACATATATATATATATATATATGTATATATATATCCTTAGCTAGCAGAACGACGACGACGAGAACGTCTCAAATAACACGTTACAAATTCACCGATCTTTGTTAGATCCATAATGGCTATATATCGCTATAACTGTTATCGGCCGCAATATCGGTGCATTAGCTTTCCTAGACATACGCAAGATGCGCTTAAACAATTTTTTACTGCCTATATAGAAACACGATGCGGTTTAGTTTATATTTTTTTTTCTCTCCATAATTATTTTGGATATAAAGAATTATATACATAGATATATAGAAAACCCTTTTCAATTTTACATCATGAACATGTAAACAACTTTATACAAACTTAGAAATTATTAAAACACATTTGTTTTCTGTGCCCAAACACATACTTCAGATATGCTATATATATATATAGATATATATAGATGCTTAGGATATGTCTTTAACAAATTTCTAGCTATGCATATGAAATGCGCGAAAACGAGAACGAAAACAAGAGGAAGAAGACGAGAATGAAAGAGAAACCATACAAAAAAAAAAAACAAAGAAAAAAAATAGAAGCACAAGGAAAATAGGAGCAATAGGATTATATTGTTAGAAAAACTACTAAAGAAATAGAAAGAAACGAAGAAGAAAGGAAGGAAAGAGAGAGAGAGAGAGGAGAGGAATAACAAGAAAATGTAAAATTTTTGGCTGCCTAGTTTGCAAATGTTTTTTGAGCCGAAGCAAACTTTGTCAGCTGTTCAACTGTCGATTTTTTTTTTTTTTGCTAATAAGAGCTATATATATATATACATATATATATGTATATATATGCAGGATACAATTCAATAGAATACTTACACTAAATACTATTAAAAAAAAAAACAAAACAAAAATGAAGTCGAAAACTTAAAAAAAAAAAGAAAGAAGGAAAAAAACAACTTGATGCGAAAACTGTTATTTAGGTTTAATTTGCTTGGTTTTTGATAAACAACGACGACAACAACAACAACAACAAGAACAGCAGAAGAAACACATACTAACTAGAAACTAATAGGAAGCTAGTACAACTAACTAGAGTAACACACACACACACACACACATATATATATATATGATATGATATGATATGATGTATATGATCGATTCATAGCGACTTTTCAACGAAGTTAGTGCGTAAGTAGCTTTTTTTTTATGGGCACGTCTTTTTTTTTTTTGGTTTTTTTTTTTTTTGGCAAATAGCGCTCATGGAATATTGAAGAAATTGTTCTTCATATATAAATATATATACATATATCTAGATATATAATTTATTAGGCTGCATACACTATATTTATATGTATCGCATTTTTTGCTACTTGATGTCTTACCTGGTACATCTGGGTTCCTAACTAACCTATGCTTAATTTAAACATACAAGAATTGCTGGGACAATTTTTCTATTTTTCTAACAGGGCTTGCAAACGCGTCGTAAATATATAAATATAAATATATTATGGAACATGTTTAACAAAGATACACAACAAACAAATACTATTGTAATGAAAATGTATACTTAAGCAGCTGCGCATCAGTCGCAGCCCTCCCCCTCCCGCTAACCCGCCCGCTCCCCGACATATATATATATATATTATACAATTCTATATTGTATGCACATATATTCTTTTTTTTTTTTAATATTTTTTACATATACACACACACACACATATATATATATATATATATATATATATATATATATATATATATATATATATATATATATATATATATATATATATATATATATATATATATATATATATATATATATATATATATATATATATGATATATACTTATACACTTTATTTAACTCGATATTAAAATATTAAACAAAAAAAAAAAACAAAAAAAAATTGTTATATGTTAAATGCTATTCAGGTGTTTAAGCAATTTATGGAAAACAAATTCAATTTTTATATAAAAAAAAACACAAAAAAAAAACAAAAAAAAATTGTAAATCTATATTAAAAAAAAACATATTTTTTTTGTTGTTGTTAAAACCCACTGTAAATAGAAATCTCGTTAAAAACTAGTGACAAAAAAAGAAAAACAAAAAAAAAGGAGAAAAAAACCAAAATCAAAAAGAAAACGATACCCAATATTTTCAAACATTTACACTAGACTCAGAAACAGAAATAAAAGGAAAATAAAATAGACGAAGAAAAAATACCAGTAAATTCGGGACGAAAGCGCCGCAAAGAGCAATAGGCTTAAGCAACAGAATATTGTACAACAACACACACACACACATGCAAATTTAATTATACACACACATACACACACACACACTTAGTTTCCTATAGCATATACAAAAAACAAAAACAAAAAACAGAGTTTAAATACAATTTGAAAACCGTACAAATTTATCTGCAACAATAAAACAAAACAGACAAACAAAACAAAACACAAAAAAAAAAAATGGAAAAATGTTATTTAAAAAAAACAAAAAACAAAAAAAAAAACAGCAACAAAAAATGTAAACAAAAACAGTTACAAAAAGCAATTTCATTTATTTGTTAATCTTAAAACAAAGAAAGAAAACGTAAAACAATGTAAAACTGCATTTTATACAATAATTAAATTTAATTTAATCAAATATATATGTATATATAAATATATATATATATATATATATATATATTATTTTTTTTGAATCCAAGTGAAAACAAAAACAAAAAACAACAACAACAACTACAACCAAAACCTCTAAATCCTCGCATATAAAGAGAAATGAAAAAAACAAAAACAACAAACTTGCAACACGCGTCTGTTGCACTGTTGCATAAACACTTTTACGTTTATAGATTTTTTATTTTACACACACACACACACATATATATCTATATCTATATATATATTTAACGTATGTATGCATAGTTGTTGAAATAATTGATAAACCTAAACCTAAAACAAAACAAAAAAAAAAACACTAAAAAAAACAATGAAATCCCCCAAAAAAAAAGGAATAAAACGAGAAGAAGAAAAAATCACTAAAAAATGCTTAGGAAAACAGATTTTTTTTTTTTAAATTTTTTTGGAAACTGTTCAACTTTTTTTTTTTTTTTTTGAAACAAGTTATTTTTTATTTGCCCTTTGATAAATATAAATTTAAAGAATTCAATTTTTAAATAATAATTCATATGTAAACAATAATATATATATATATATATACACGCTATTTTGTATGCTTATATCTAATAATTTTAACTCGTTATTTAGTTACTTATATTAATTGAAACACGATTTTCGCCCTAATTATGTATATATATATATACATGTATATATATATATATATATATCCGTAATTATATATACTTATGTGTGTATATTGATATGCCCGTAAATAAAAACAACACAAAAAATGTTTAATTTTTATTATTATTATTTTTCTTATTTTTTTTTCTTCTTTTCTATCAAAATTTATGCTTATAAAATTATACAATAAATATTTGAACAACATACCAAGAAATATTGAATTCTTCTCCAATTGATTTTTATTTGATTTCCGCAAGTTTTCTTTTTTTTTTTTTTTGCTTACTTTTTAGAGCAGAGTCGAGTCATTTTCCAGGGTAGCTGGTTACATGATGTAGAGCTAGAGAAAGTTCCATTTGTTGGCAAAATTCGAGCTGCTAAAGGAAAAGTCGCCGGTTCATGAACCGGTTAAGTATCTGGCAAATAAATGCAGGCTCCAACATGTTGCTCGAGCTGCCTTTGATAGATTCTTTGAAAGTTTTTGCTTATCAAATACGCTTTGAGCTTTTGTTACTCTGAATTCAGAGCATGATTCACACACGCAGCAGAGAAGAGATTACACACCCGTCTCACAAGCCCCGCCCCCCTCGGTCCTAAATGGTCTCACCGCAGCGTGAATCCAATTGGATCTGTCGCCGTTTCTAATCAAGTGCAGTAAGTGCTCCCGTGCACGACCCCGGTTAACATGTGCACATATGTACACACATGTATGTATGTATGTATGTATGTATGTATGTGCGTGCATGTGTGTATAGAGCGGTAAGCACGCCCACGCAGGCCGCCGCCCTTGGATATGCACACCTAGGCGAGCGACACGAACTGTTGATTTAATTCAATCAATGTTGTTGTTGTTGTTGTTGTTTTCACTTTTAATGTGTCGCCCGCCGGCAACAAAAAGAGCAACAATTTTAACAACAACAACAACGAGGGGAAATTTGTTTTGCCGGCAAACTTAATAAATAATAACAAAGCAACAACAACAAAGGCGCCGGCCGCTGAATGAGTTGCATGAGAAACAAGCAGCAAAACATAATAAACAATGAGTGCTTCAGTGGAGAGTGCCCGACCAGCAGATACCCTGTATCAAGCACGTTCGTCTCGAGTACCTCATATATGTATGTTAGATACACACATATTTACAAAACAGATAGTTGCACTCTATAATACCCTTTCACGCAAAACAGCTGGGTATAGGAAGCTATGAATAGACGCTCTTTTAATGATTTCTAGTTTTTATTTATTTACTTTAATCATTCGGGGTTTCTTTAGTGCTTTACGTCAATCATTAAGTTTCTTCAGTGATAATTTTGTGGCACCTTTTTTTGGTGCGTTATTTATTTAACTTGATTTTAGTTTCGCGCCAGGCGCACTTCACATACCCTACAGATTCGATAAGTATATCAGCAGCGTTGACTGCGATGGATATTGTAAACTTAATCAATAATATGCAGCATCGCTTTACTATTTAATGTTGATTTGCCTCCTTCTGCCTGTTACATACCTATGCACAAAAGCATTGTACCCCATTTTCAATGGGTTCAGGGTATACAAATATTTTTCGTTTATTTAGTTTCGGGTTGACCTTTCCATTTGCCTGGACAAATGTACATGCACATACATGCATAGTATGAGCTTTCAGATAACAGAATACTAGACTGACAAAAGTACAGCTATTCGCTGCACTCGCTTTGCTGCGTAGCAAAAGCTTTCACACAACTCCAATAGCAACCTTTCTGCATAGTGTATGCACACACGCACACGCGCGCGCACACATAACAGTTGCCGGCAAGCTCGTAGCAAAAACAAAAAGCACATTCGAGAGAGAGAGAGAGAGAGCGAGCGAGCGAGAGAGGAGAGTCAAAAATTGTGCAAAATTTTTACACTCTGACCGCGATCGTTCGCTTTATTGGGTGAAGGTCACACCGGGCTGTGCTGCTCTGCTGCGTTTTTGTATTTTGTTTATCTTTGCTTTTGTGTGTGTGTGTTTTTTTTTTGCTTTTTGTTCTGTTCATTTGCTGGTCTGTTGTCGCAGTCGCTGTTGCTGTTATTCTCAACTGCTTTTTGTGCTGATCGCTTCGGGATCTAAGCACGAGCTTAGAACGGACATTGATTCAGGTATGCTTGCATTGCATTTGATGATAAACTTAAGATAACCAGAAGATACGCTATTCCCATGATTAACAAAAGTTAGCTTATCTTATTGAAATCCAAAGCTTTTTTTATGCCAAAATGTATTTTATTTCATATCTTAAACTAGATTTGATAATATTTCAGTTCAAATGAAATACTTGATAAGATTTTTACAGTTCTCTTTGTTCAAAGATCGAAGATAATTGCAAGCGAAAATAGCGGCAATTCATGATCTAACGGCACCAACTTGTGCAGTAACCGTGACAGCTTCACCAAATGTCACTGTGACTGGCTCAGCACTGGAACGTAGCGGTCATTCATTTAAATTAGCTTCACTTTGTTTGCATTCGTGATTTTAGTTGTATTCCGTTTGTTGCGTTGCGGATTCTATAGCGGGACAGTCGTCTGGTTTTACTGGGTATTTTGATATTCATAAATTTGAACGCCTCTACGCCTCATGTCCAGATACTTATGGCTGTCACTGTTTAGCGTACATTCTTTGTTAATTTATTGCTTAAATTCATTTGAGTTGGCTAAGTGGGCATTTTCTAGCATCCGACCTTGACCATTAAACTGAACACACACACACACACACACACACACACACACACACACACACACACACACACACACACACACACACACATACACACACATACAGAATAGTACTGAAAGCAACGCAAAAGAAAAGTACAAAAAATACGTATAGAAACGTTGAAATAGCCTTATTTCAAATTGCTTTTTCCATTTTTGTATTCCATGAAGTTTTGGTTGAATGTTAAAATATTGTATACCAACAACAAGAGCCAGAAAAAAAAAACACTTCTAATGCTATATATATATATATATATATATATAATTGTACCCATATATGTAAGTAGGTACGTTGCGCAGGAATTAAAATACGCAAAATACAAAAATACCAATTAGTATATACTACTTATTGACAATTCTCGCTAGATGAATGATGTATGCATATTAAATTATATAGCCATGCTTTACCAATCCATAAACTATAGCTATAATACATAAACAAATATTATGTATATACGATTATAGGACATATAATACAAGCAAAATAAACAGAGTCAGGAAATTAAACGTTATATTCATATATCTAACAATTTGTAGGCAGTCTTTTCTGCCAATTATCTGCATACACATTATGTTTATGGAGCACACATACATATATGCATATAGTATATATATAGCATATATGTATATATGTGTTTATAGAGTATAACTGGAACTGTTGCCCAGTTGGCAATGTTGTCTACGGCGAGCTTAAAAGTTGTGTAACATGCCCCAAAGCACGATTGAGAAGATTTAATAAAATTAAAGGCCAAAAGCCAACCAGAAACCAAGTCTGCGTACACTTTCCTTTTGTCGGGGGTAATCCGTTTTATTTTCAGATTTGCCACAATTCTTAATAGAAGAAGACAAACCCCATAGTTGTTGCTTTAGTTGTCCGTATCGATAACCATCGGAACGATCGGTCAAAAATTGAGTTTTTCTAGGGATTTATGTACCTGGAATATAGTTAAAGCGCGCACCTTATCACTTTTATATGGTAATATAGCTTTATGGGAAGAATCGATCTAAACATTTGCTGCGATGTGCAAACTAGAGTTTGATTTTTATCGATTTTGTGGGAAGAAGATGTTAATATATCAAAGGATTTGCCCAGCTCTTAGTTTCTTAAACAATGTGTTCACGTAGACAGATAAGGCTAGATCGTTTTACCTTAGCTTCCGGATCAAGAATGAGATCCGATAAGTTACCTTCATGCTATCAGTAAATATATCAACGTAAGCTAGACATTTGTATAGTTGAATATCAAGATCAGGATATATGGCAGAGATGCGGTGCGGCGCAGGTCGTTCGCGATGGGCGTGGCAAGGTGAGTGAGTGTGGCGTGGCCAGGTGAGTGTGGCAGCCGCCAGCTGTAAGCTGTAGCTGCCACATCCTTGTCGTGTATGTCACATAACTGGCTCAGCGGCTTTTTAGCCCTCTTGTTAAAAACATTCAGGCTGTGTTTCAATTTTGTTGTTGCTGTTTTTTGTTTTTGTTTCTTTTTTTTTTGTATTCGTTTCTTATTTTCTTTTTACTTTTAATTGCGTATAGATTTCGATGCCTGCAGCTTGCAAGCGGGACAGGTGTAATTCCTCAATATGAGTTGCCAAATCGCCTGCAAAGGGCAACGCAAGTGAGTGCGAGTGAGGCCCACAACGAATATTTGATGCCCTTAGCTATCAATGTTTATACTTTTTCGATATTTGTTCATATTTTATGGGATATGGTATCTCCTGTGATATGATCTGTTCGAGCTTTTGTCAAATATATACTAATACTATTATTCCTTGAGAGCTGCTCATTTAGTTGTGAGTCATCCAGTGCTCGACATTGACAAATAATGCAAATAACAACAATAATGTTAGGCTGGCCTGAGTTTAGTTTGTTATGAACTGATAATTATCAAAGCTTTTCCTTAACTTGTTGAGAATTGTAAGCCAAAACAGCACCCCTCTTAACTAACTTAACTTTCTGGAAAGTGCAAAGTGTGCTGTCGCAAATTGAGCGCTAAAGCTGAAGGACCTCAGCGAGGAACGACTGACAGACCGACAGACAGAGGAGTGTGCTTATAAGCCAGGGCAGTCTTGAGGATCGGTTAGCGCAAGGTGTTTGCTAGGCACGGGCCCAGCTGTAGTCAAACCTGTAGCTGTACCTGCCACATGGGTACTGATTAAGGTCCGCACGAGGATGCCAGTCGGTCAATGTGCGTGCCGCTTAATTGAGCTTAATGCAGGAGGCAAGAGGCCGACTGACGGGCGCGGCGGAGCGGGGTGTGGAGGGTGAAAAACTCAGTTTGATACAATTAGGCACTGCTCCACCTTTTTAATGATAACCATTCAATTTAATGAGACCCAAAGGGTGCCACAGCTTGAATTGAGTTTGCTTGACTTGAGACTTGAATTGAGTTGATTTGTGTGGAAATGAGTTAAACGCGAGTTGAGCTAAATTCGACTTGCTTGTGCTGAGGGCTTAGTCCGAAATGCTAAATATCGATTCCTTGCCAAACACACTTAGGGTGTCCACCATGTTATGTTTGATGGCGTTCTCAAAGACCGTCTTGATGCAGTTGACCAGGGCCAGGGTGCAGAAGAGCCGGATCATTGGATAAACCGCACTCAAATGAAGTGTCAGCCGACCGGTAAGCACCTCGACCAGCCAAACAAGGAAATCCAGAGCCAGCATCAAGGTATTAAGTATTAACCATGGTGTTATATAATTTGGCTTTGTCTGAATAATAACAGCATTAAGTGGCCACAAGAAATAACAGTAATAAATAGATAAGAGATAAGAGCTTCGATCTTAGCAGCTGCTCAAATCGAAATAAACAATCTGCTGGCAACTACTGCTAAGATTAGATGTCTCTCTGCAAGCGTATTTGAATATATTTGCACTCACATTGATCAGCGCATAGATCATCAACATCCAGGCATAGCTCATGATGAGTGCGCCCACCAAGCGACCCCTGCGGAGCACCTCAACGTCGAATACAAAGAATTTACGGGGTCGCCACATCTCGAGCGGGTGGCTGGATACGCAATAGATGTGGACACATTCGCCCACGCTGCGATAGGCGCCAGTCAGGCTGAGGCCTAGCACCAGCCAGAAGATGTATGGAAAGAACTCGTACCGGCATGGGGTGCATCCGCCAATAAACTGCCAGAGCTGATGCCAACGGGTGACCGGGCAAAAGTTCCATATGGAGAAGGAGCGGCACTTGCTCTCGGTCACGCGAAACTGGAATTTGCGCACCTTGAACATTTTCAACATATATATGTATATATATATATATATATATATATATATATAGTATATATATTGTTTTTTATATGGTTTATACAAATCGTCAACTTGATGTCGAAACGATTAGTTAAAATGCAATTTTCCACGTACTTTCAATTTGAAGCGAACCATGCAGTTAAAAATAAAATAAACATATACAAAAGTAAGAATGTTAGACGCTTTTAAAAATAATACTGACTACGAATTTAATCAAAGTCTCAAACCTATACAATGTTTGTAAACAGTTACTTTGTTTTTCGGTTTGCTCTCTGACCAACTGAGTATCTACTGGATAACTACTTAAGCACTATATCCCAGCGATTGTTCCTATAGATACTCTATAGTATTGTCAAACGATTTGACATGGCTTGCGAGATATGTTAGCAGAATCGTATAGTATGAAAGTTTCCTGAATATATCTTGAGAAACAGAAACATTTTCCATATAAAAACGAATTTTTCGATCACTTCTTCTTCTGATATAGTAGGCCGATATCTATATTAGATGTGGTCTCACATGTCAGGCAATTGACTTGAATAATAAAAGCTAATCTTGTACTACAACTTTATTTGGCAGCTCTTTTTGAGGAGATCTTTTTTAAAATGTCTAGCGAAATGATATGTCCCATACGATCCTATCTTTGGTGCATGTACTGAGGACAGGGTATCGACTTCTTAGATCCGGGACTTACCTTTGATTAACACAGGGCTATTGAGTAGGTTCTGGTGGGGTTTCGACCTAAGCTACTTTTGCTATTGATTCTATGTGTATATACGTGTGTGTCCATTGATTATTTTCCAATTAATGTGATTGGACTCAATTAAAATTGAGCAAGCCCGCATTTCTATGGTAACTGGAATCGTATAAACATCAAATCGTTTACAAACAATATTAATAGGCAGAAAAAAAAAATGGAAAAATGAGTAATAATAATAGGCAAGGGGAGGAGTCGCTTTTAAATTGGAAGGAAGGAAGCGAAAACTTAAAACCAAACAAATGCGACAATTTATTAAACAAATAAATGCTAAGGGCTACGAGCTGGTGGGTGTGTAAACAAAACCCTCACCTGGGTGCTTGCTCGGACACGGCGCCGGGCTGGGGGGAGGGCCATTAAATTAGTCAGCCGCATTGCGATACGTTTGGTAATTTCCCGGCAGTCACAACACCAACAACGTGTGTAATTAACTCGACACACACAGCCACAGATGTGAGGAAGTAGGCTTATTTCGATATAATTATAATGGTGCTAGTGCAATAATTGCGAGGCTGATTCACAGCGCAATAACAACAAAATTGTGAGTACACCAGGTGCACACAAGGCGAAAACAGGTAGGCGCCAGCTAGTTGCTTGGCTGCCAAATGACAAAGACGAAGATGTCAGAGGGCTCGTTAAGGGCTGGCAAGCGGACGGGCGAAGTTCTCTCGACAGGAACATAGATAGTCAGATCTATGTGAATAACTTTTATGGCCGGTAACCAAGTTATTGTGCACCCTTTTGCCGAATGTGCGACTACACTGAGCAAAAATTGGACAGGTTTTTCGCAAAACTAAAATATATATATGTATATATAGAAGTGCGTAACGACTTGGCTGTTGTCTGGAATGGTTTATTTTGTACATTTTTTAATATTTTATTCCTAGCTATAGTTAACTTTTCCAGTAACTAAAATGAATTCATGTCTATTACTCCACTTGGTTTTCTGTCAGTGTAGTTGAATTGCTAACATGTATCTTGGAATAATAGCATTCAGTTTCACGCTGCGGCGTTGCATTTTTATGGATGCGCATTTTATGGCACTTTCACTTCACAATTGCCGGCCATAAAAATCCAAAGGCGATAAGCCGAAAATTCTAAGTAATTCCAGGAAACAGCAATTGCAACTGCGACTGCAACTGTGACTGCATCTTAAAAAGTGCTGATAAGATCAACGAATCTTCAGGAGATTTTTCATTTCAGGCGAGTTAGTCTGTGGGTGGTGGGCGGTGGGCGGTGGAAGGAGGTGCCAGAACAAATTGCTTGGTTATATTTTATCTAGTCCTGAAGTTAACTTTTTGTGAGAATAGAGCAGCTCGAAAATGAAGAGCTTGTTGGAAATATTTTTGAAAACAGAATATTTTGCAAATTAAGATCCTACTATTGCAACGATCAGATTTTACATTTATAGATGAGCATCATAATGCAACTTATAAAACAGAGAAAACTTTTCGTTCGATCGTACCGATGTATATAAAAAAATCTCTAATACCTAATTTGGATTAAAAAGTTATCGATACAAGAACCCAATTTTTGACTGATCTATATGATATAGCAGACCGCTATTGATAAGATGTTGCATGTAAACTTCTAAATGCCAAGTTTAAGTAAGAAATCTTCATATTTATAGAGCAATTTTTCATACAAGAACCAACTTTTTATCCCAATGGCAGCTGTATGATATAGTGCTCCGATGTTATGTATGCTCCGACAAATGTTCTAAGTGCAACAGATGGACCAGTGCAAAGTTACCAGACGATAGCTTACAAACTGAGAGACAAGAAGTGTCAAACGGACAGTCGGATATGGCTATATGTATATACATATATACTATATGGGGTCGGAAAGGTCGAAAGCTTGAAAAGATTTCCTAAGAACGGATAATATTTTTGCATTCTGTTGGATTAGGGCTTATATAAATAATTGGCTTGTGTAAGGGTTGAATATGAGTTTAGTGTTTGTTCTTGATTGATTGACTTTTCTTACACATTTAAGCCGTATTTATTGTAAATATGTATTGATTTTTAATCGCATACTTATCATATTTGGAATTGACTTAAAGTAAGACCTATTTGAATCTATATTTGACTTAACCCGTAATTAATAAGACAGATGAGTGTAGTTTATTGTATATAAATGCTCACGGCAAAAGAAGAAGTCAAGTATATATGCATATATATATATATATATAAGATATCTACAGCTTAGGCCTGAATAAGTAAATGTTGTAGAATGGCACAGTTCCAAATCAGTTGCAATATCGAAATTTCCAATATTTGACAAATAAGCACTTTTTAAAATGCAGTCAGTTTCTATTGATTTCTTAAACATTCTTTTTGAATTTATATTTAGGTATCAATTTTTGATATTTGAAGCCAACCCAAATAGAAGCCGATACAATTGTTCGTTAAATGATAGAATTTAGTCAACAGAAAATGAATACCCATATAAAAATATAAATCAGGGACGGCCAATAAAAACGCTCGAACGGATTTGACAACTTGTCAACTAGAGTTCTGCTGCGATTTGTTACACGGTGGCAAACAGGACAGGACACAGGTGCTGCTGCTCACAAGCAGAGTTCTAATGCGCTGCACTCATTGAGAATGTTTGAATAGGGTATAATGTGCTTGTGCAAAGGTAGGTGACAAGCAGAAGGACGCACACATGAAAGCAGGAACGTAGAATAATTGTAAATGTAGCTCAGCGCGTGGACTTAGGGTATCTGCTAGTTGGACACACCCGAGTAGAGCCCTCTTACTTGTTTGTACAAGTGTCTGTTCGTAGATACATCTATTTCCCAGAACGGGTCGTACTTATATTATGGTCTGTGTCAAAGTGTATTTCAATTGTGACGAAACATTTCTCAGCGCACAGAGCGGACAGCATGACAAGTGGAATTTCGGTTGAAAGCATATCCTGTCTGCCCTGGGGGCAATGCATTGCCATGAATATAACCAAAATGCAGCCAGCTCAACTGTTCGGCTTGAATTGTTGGCCCTAACATTAATAATAGTCAACTCGGCCAATTGCAATGGATGTGGCCAGTTCCTCAGATCCAGCAAGGAGCACAAACAACAACTCGGCAAATATTGAACCCGATGCCATTTAGGTAGACATGCATGTCTTTCTTGGACTTATCATCTTGTTTTTAAAGAATTACGTTAATATTGTCTCTTTGCCCAAACATAATTGTGCATCATGTCAAGTATTTATAGATACATCCCTTATTCTATCTATACCGTGATCTAATTGCAAATAGGGCAAAGAGTTTGACAATTTTGCTGCAAGCTTCTGTGCGAGACGTGAATCTTATGCAAAACAGGTTAATCATGTTTTTTTTATCGTTTTCCTCCCCCATTTTAATAATATACATTTAAAGTGTTTATTTAGGCATAGTTCGTTCAATTGTACTATTTCTTGCTAGACTTTCACATTTTGATTGCTTACAATCTGAGTGCAGATTCTTTTCTATAACAAAATTTTCAACATGTGTCGATAACTTCGCCTGCCATTAGATCTTCAAGATTTAATTGATTTGATTCCTTACAATATAATATCCAATTTGCTTAGATACGGATCTTCGTACAAAGTTTTGAGTACAATTTTGATACCCTTGTAGATGGTTTAACATACTCAGCATTTATAAGCTTCGCTTTTCTCACATGTATGAACATTTCTTACCGCATCATATTTAGAATCAAACTTGAAATTAGTTTGATACATTTGTATTATCAATATTGATATTATTTATATATCAGTCTTTTAAATCGAACGACTGGTACGTTTCTGCAGGAAGAGATCCCGCTGGATAAATTATTTACCGGTGGAAGCTATCCAAATTCCCTTTTCAAATAATATAAACCATATTTCCATATATAATTCAATTTTACTGAGTCTCTCATTAGGCGCCTTTTACATTCCGTCTTCTTTGTCTGTGCTAAGTAATATCATTTTTTTTGTCCCGACTTGAGGATTGATAGGAAATTGATATTTTTGCTGCCATTACCTTACGTGATTTCGCTAAGATAGAAATAGAAAGTTTCCACCCACAGCGGTGGAATATTTGTGAAAACCCACATTTTTTTCTTTAGTATTCATCCGGATTTTTTTTAGACGTGCTTTACATTTTTTGGAAAGTCCATCTTCTCTGAGTATCTATCCAGCTGGTTGCAGTCAAAGTTTCGGGTACAAACTCAATTCTAAGTTCTTTCTAGTTAGAAAAATTGGACTCAATAGCTTTAAGAGCGAAACAATAAATGTCGTCCGATCGGCTTTAAGCTCTATTTCAATGCTTCGTCTTACAAAATTATGAGTAGGTCTTGCAATGATATTTGACTTTTAATACGTGGGCTTCAGTGTATTAAGCGTAGATTTAGATTCCCACGGGCAGAAACTGGGTGGAACTGTAATGTCTGAAAT